TCTGGGGTTCAGAGACAACTGATCAAAGGGCAGGCTAAGAGCTCAGACCTGGCATCAATTGGTTCCACAGGAACAGGGCTGTCCATTTTAAGTCAGGTCCCTCCCTCTGTCCTGGGACATCAGCTGTCAAGCCCCAAAGACTCTTGGAAAAAGCAATCCTGTCCTAACCCAAATGGCCTGACAACCTTTCTTTAAGGCTCAATTGCCTATGGCTCCAAATTGCTCAGAGCTCTCTTTTACCTCAGTTTCCCATTCTTCTACTTTGAGATGTTAATAAGCGGCAGATTAGTCTATTAGTAAGAAGCAAATACTCTAGTTTTGCTGTGAAGAAGCAACTCTGATAAGCCTTTAGACCTCTTCTTTCTAGCTACTAACTAGATCCAATCCCTGAAAAAGATTGTTCTTGTCTTTGAAACCAGCAACTCTGCCTATTATCTATTTACTTGAAATAGAAGACAACGTCTGGAGGCTTGGATCTGCTTCCCTACAGGACTCACACTTGCATAACTTCACTAGGCCCATGAAGGTCTCCAGGGATTAGCTTCTATAACCTGAAAAGGGATCGACCATCCCTGAACAACCAGGGAAAGTAGGTGAGGGAAGACAGGACCAATTTTTGTTTTGATGGGCTGGCTTGTAAATAAACTGTTTAAGGGGTTAGGACTGAATGGGATTAGGGCTACTGACTAGGAGAAAAAGTAATTATATCAGGGAGGCCAAAAAAAAAAAAAAAAAAAGGAAAAATAACCCGAAAATCCACCTCCCTGAAAATTCAACCCACAAAACTCAGCCACGCAGCAAAAAAGAAATTTGGCTCTTTAAGTGCCAACAGGATTAAGTGCTAGAGATTGTAGAAGTCATAAAGGGAAATTAACTGAAAACCAGAGATGCCATTACTCAATCGGGAGCAATCTATCTCTCCCAAAGTGAGAATACAATCTGCACCCTCTGGGGATCTTTTATACTCAAATCTTTATTCCCCAGGCTGGGGCTTCTATTTTCTTCAAATTCTAAATGGTGCTGCTATTTCCTGCTAATGGCTTCTACCCAGTCTTTGAGGAAGGCACCTGGGAGGGGACTGAAGGTGAGGTTAGAGGAAAGCCCTTGCAGTCTCCAGGGTCTTGGCTCTTCCCAATCACTGCCAACTTCTCAAGGGATTGGTAGGCTTTTAAAAGGGCAGTGTCCAGGTCGAAGCACTGTTTTATTCCAACCCAAGAAAAGATGAGGGTGGGTGGAAGGGACTGGACCAGTTTTCAAGTACAGGTTGAATACCCCTTATCCAAAATACTTGAGACCAGAAGTGTTACAGATTTTGGATTTTATTACTTTTTTTGAGACAGGATCTTACTCTCACCCAGGCTGGAGTGCAATGGCAGGATCTTGGGTCACTGCAGCCTCCACCCACTGGGCTCAAGCGATCTTCCCACCTCAGCCTCCCAGGTAGCTGAGACTATAGGTGCATGCCACCACGCCTGGCTAATTTTTGTATTTTTTGTAAAGACAGGGTTTTGCCATGTTGTCCAGGCTGATCTCAAGCAATCCTGGGCTCAAGGAATCTTCTCACTTTGGCATCCCAAAGTGCTGGGATTATAGGCATGACCCAATTTCTGAATACCTGCATATATATAATGAGGTATCTTGGGACCCAAGTCTAAATAAAAATCCTTTTGTTGTATATACACCTTATACACATAGTCTGATAATTTTGTAAAACATTTTAAATAGTTTGTGCATGAAACAGTTATTATTATTATTACTTTTTGGAGATGGGGTCTCACTCTGTCACCCATGCTGGAGTGTTTTGGCATGGACATAGCTCACTGCAGCCTTGACCCCCTGGGGTCAAGCGATTCTCACCCCAATCTTCCAAGTAGCTGGGACCATAGGTGTGTACCACCACACCTGGATAACTTTTAAATTATTTGTAGAGATGAGGTCTTGCTATATTGCCCAGGCTGGTCTTGAACTCCTGGGCTCAAGTGAACCTCCCACCTCAGCCTTCCGAAGTGTTGGGATTACAGGTATGAGCCAGTGTCCAGCTGGAATAAACTTTTGACTGCGACCTGTCAAATCAGACCAGAGATTAAGTGTGGGATATTCCACTTGTGGCATCATATAGGCCCTCAAAGTTTAAATTTTGGAGCATTTAGGATTTTGGATTAGGAATGCTGATATAGTTTGGATAGCTGTTCCCTCCAAATCTCATGCTGAAATTTGATGCCCAATGTTGGCGGCAGGGCCTAGGTGGAGGTATTTGGGTCAAGGGGGTGTATTCCTCATGAATGGCTTGGTACCCTCTTTGTGGTAGAGTTTTCATGGGCTATTTATAAGTACATGGCACATCTCCTCCTCTCTTGCTCCTTCTCTTGCCATGCGATACACCTGCTCCCCCTCTGCCTTCCACTATGATTGGAAACTTCCTGAGGTCCTCACCAGAAACAGATCCTATGCTAGTGCCACCCTTCTTATTCAACCTGCAGAACTGTGAGCTTAATAAACTTATCTTTATAAGTTACTCAGCCTCAGGTGTTTCTTTGTAGCAATGCAAAATGGACCAAGACAGATGTTCTACCTGTATGTGGACCTGGTGCTTAAAAGGGATTATTAGAGAGTGTTTGGTGATACTGCTGGCAGTGTGAAAATCAGCTTGCATACTATCTTTGTCCAAATCTCTCCTGGTTAAAGGTGTAACCATATACATATATATATATTGCTCAGACCAGAAATCTGAAAGTCACTATTCCCTTTGGAGATTCTACCATACTATGTATATTAAAGGCTCTAAACAGTCCTGCAGTAAATAAACTGGCTTCACTTTATTTAACCTGGTCTTGAGCATGGGATTTTTATGCACCAAAATATCTAACAAACTATCTGAAAAACAGTGTTCTGTGCAATGCACTTTAGGAAACCTCAACCTATGGATCACGTATATGAAGTACAAGCTTTCTAGGATTTGGCTTTTAATTCTGTAACTTTACTGTTTGCTGCTCCCCAACTCTAACCATTCTCAAGTTCTTTTTGGTTTATAAAATGTGCCACACTTTCAAGCTTGTGCCTGTTTTTTCCTGAAACGCACATGTTCTTTGTCCATCTGGCAAGCCCTACTCATCCTCCAAGTCCCAATCTAAGCATAATCACATAATCTGTGAAACTTCCTAAATGCTCCAAGGCAAAGTTGTTTCCTCCTGTGTTTCCAGTGCACTTCATTCAAACTTTATTCACTGTATTAAAAGTAATTGGTTTGAAAGCTTTACCATCCTGCTGGTTCCTTCATTAATGAGTTGTATAAATCTCTGGCATGTGCTCACTTAAAAAAGTAAGTGATGGTTTTTTCTGAGATAGTTTTTTCTACTGGTGTGTGCACTTCTCAAGATGGCAAGGACAGTACCTTATCTATCTCTGTCTTCAGCAACAATGATTATGCCTGCCATATAACAGGGGTTGTTTGTTGAATGATGATGCCCCAAACCCAGGGCAGACAGCCTCTCTCTAACTTAAGATAAATAGATGATTCAGGTTTGTGAGCCAAAAGTATAAAACCAAACAGGCTCAGAACAGGTTAGAACTGTGAAGATCTCTTTGTTCTGAGATAAGAGATTCAGAAAAAACACACTCTACTCCCCAGTGCCAGATGAGATTCACTAGTGTCTATCTGTGTGCTGGGTGTAGTCACCCAGTGATCCAGGGAGATGGTAACCTTAGTGGTAGAAGGCAAGTAATAGAATTTCTTAACATCCTGTCTGTTTATGCAAAGCCAGACAAGTAAACAGAATCATAAAGGTGTCTCAGATAATGTCATGGTTAAGTTGCACTCAAACATTCTCATATTCCATTTGAGTTGAATTTGATGCAGCATTCTGACCAATGTCATTTCTACCAGCTGAGACTGCCCCAAATCTGCCCACTTTCAAGAGCCTGAGTATAGAGAATGCTGCTCAGAAAAGTTCATTTGGCAGGAGGCAGAGTAAACACAGGCTCTGCTCATTAAAGATCAGGCGCAAGTACACAAAACCAAGTTCTTTTTTTTTTTTTTTGAGACAAAGCCTTGCTCTGTCACCCAGGCTGGAGTGCAATGGCACAATCTCGGCTTACTGAAACCTCCACCTCCCAGGTTCAAGAGATTCTCTTGCCTCAGCTTCCCGAGTAGCTGCGATTACAGATATGCGTCACCACACCTGGCTAATTGTTGTATTTTTAATAGAGATCAGGTTTCACATGTTAGCCAGGCTGGTCTAAAACTCCCGACCTCAGGTGATTCGCTCGCCTTGGCCTCCCCAAGTGTTGGGATTACAGGCGTGAGCCACCGCGTCTGGCAAAACCAGGTTCTTTTGGAACTTATTTATCACATCTTGGCTGCTCTGCTTCTAGTAGGAAAAAAATATTGTTACTGATAAATAATTATTCTCTGTCATTTTCATGGAAGTGAGTAAACCCAGAAACACATAAAAGGGGCGGGGGGAAACAAGTGAACAGCTTCTTGGAAGTTTAAATGAACTGTATTCCGTGGCCACATCAAGCTCTACTCTGATTTATAGCAATCAAGCCTCAAAAAAAAAAAAAAAAGACAATAATTCCAATCCACATGGCTCTTGTATAAAGGCATCTATTTGGTTTTTAATACAAAAGGACTTAGAGAAATACAGAAAGAAAATATCATACAAGCCAGTCTCACAAAAAAAAAAAAAATCCCAACCAACAAATTTGTCACATTGGGCCTGCATTAGAAAACAGGAAAAAAGAAAAAGAAAAAAAATAAAACAGTCCCTGAAATCTGGCAGGTGGTTTTTAGAGGCCACGGGGAGCTTGGGGAGCTTGCCTTAGTCATCCTGGTGAAATCGGACAGAAGTGGTTTTTGGAATATGGCCACCGCCTCCTGTTTCTTGCTAGCAATGGTCATCTGAAGGGAGGGTGCTAGCCTGGGCATCCAACATTTGATGTCAGTTATGCAGTCTGAGGTCTCAAAGACAAGCGGTCTTGGAGTCTTCCATTCCGTATCTTCACTGAATCTCTCCCATATACAGTCTCTTGTCACTCGATGCTGAGATAACTGAGGTAAAAAGAACAGAGAAGATACCTAGAAATAATGAAGGCTCAAGGAGACTTGGTGCCCAATTTTGGTATAAAAGAGCAGTTGGACTTAGCTTAAATTCCCCTCCTAAACACCATTCACAGGAAATTGTAGCCTGGCTTTTCAATCCAAATCCTCTAATATCATGAGGATGACTGTACTATGGGAAATACATTATCAGACACTAAATACTGATGTCTTTTGTCAGTCAAACCCCAAGAAAAAGACTTTCCCAATCATTGTAGAAAAGAGGAATCTATGGCTGTGCCAGTCATTTTGTAAATGTGCTTCTGCTTGTTATACTTAGTCCTGGAGAAAGTTACAGTTTCTCCTTTAATTCAAGGCTTAAATTATTTGGTTTAGCCAGCCACAAAATTTTAAGCTGAAATGTATATCCAAATTTTTTTTTTTTTTTTTTTTGAGACGGAGTCTCGCTCTGTCACCCAGGCTGGAGTGCAGTGGCACGATCTTGGCTCACTGCAAGCGCCGCCTCCCGGCTTCATGCCATTCTCCTGCCTCAGCCTCCCAAGTAGCTGGGACTACAGGCGCCCGCCACCTCGCCCGGCTAGTTTTTTGTATTTTTTAGTAGAGACGGGGTTTCACCGTGTTAACCAGGATGGTCTCGATCTCCTAACCTCGTGATCCACCCGTCTCGGCCTCCCAAAGTGCTGGGATTACAGGCTTGAGCCACCGCGCCCGGCCTATATCCAAATATTAAGAAGAATCATTCTTGGTTGGGCATGGTGGCTCACACCTGTAATCCCAGCACTTTGGGAGGCCAGACCAGGCCTGGCCAACATGGTGAAACCTCGTCTCTACTAAAAATACAAAAATTAGGCAGGTGTGATGGTGGGTGCCTGTAGTCCCAGCTACTTGGGAGGCTAAGGCAGGAGAATCGCTTGAACCTGGGAAGGCAGAGGTTGCAGTGAGCCGAGATCTTGCCACTGCATCCTAGCCTGGGCAACAAGAGTGAGACTCCGTCTTAAAAAAAAAGAAAAAAAAAAGTATCGTTCTTTTATCCAAATACATCATTGAAACAGACTTGATGGAAGTAAATTTAAAAAAAAAAAATTAGACTTACCAACTTCCTTTTGAAATCAAGAAGAAAATAGAGCATTGCTCTTACCCTTACCACTTATGAGGTGGTGAGAGTGTCATTGATACCCACATAAAGACTGTTTGCAGGCCGGGCGCGGTGGCTCAAGCCTGTAATCCCAGCACTCTGGGAGGCCGAGGCAGGCGGATCACGAGGTCAGGAGATCGAGACCATCCTGGCTAACACGGTGAAACCCCGTCTCTACTAAAAAAAAAACAAAAAACTAGCCGGGCGAGGTGGCGGGCGCCTGTAGTCCCAGCTATTCGGGAGGCTGAGGCAGGAGAATGGCGTAAACCCGGGAGGCGGAGCTTGCAGTGAGCTGAGGATCCGGCCACTGCACTCCCAGCCGGGGACGACAGGAGCGAGCCACTACTGGAGCTGAGGCAGAGAATCGAACCAGGAGAAATGCGTGAGCTGAATCACCATGCACCGGGGAAACACAACTTTTCAAAAAAAAAAAAAAAACCACACAAAAAAACAAAAAAAAACACACAAAACACCAAAGGCTGTTTGCATGGAAATTCGCATAAAACAGATACCCACTTTTGCCTCTGTATTCCCAGGATCCCTACGGGGAGATTTCCAGTTTCCCTTTCCCCCTTGTTGGGAAAGACTTACTGATGGGCTCGTCAGGGTGGAAAGCAACTTCATTGATGGAGCCAGCATGGCCGGGCAGCTTATATAATATTCTCCTGCTTGTGGTATCCCACACATACACAAACCTGTAAGGTATCATGAAAAGCAAGGGTAAGGCCTCCTAGAGCTGGGGGTAAGGCAGAGGCATGGCTTTTTAAAGGAAATGGAAGCAACAATTATTTACTTACCTTACATTTACTGAACCGTGTTCTGGCTTTTAGAAACTAGGAATACAGAGTTTGAATAAGACATGAACTCAGCTCTTGAGCAATGGGGTGGAGAAATAAGAATAACTAAAAATATAAGCATTACTGGCATGTTTGAATACAAGCTTCTGAAATGGGAAACACCACAGGGAAGAAGAGAAAGGTTTTCCTGCAGACATCACACAAAAACCTTTTTCAGAGTGTCTAGTATAATTAGGCTACAGTTAACTTCATACTCATCCAGGAAGTCTAAAAGGTAACACAACTCATGGCAGGGTGGGAGCCTAGGCTGCAGATCCGGGTGAACTTTTTCGTACTGTATTCAAACAGAGCCCCGAGAAAGGACAGGAAGTGTCTGGTATATAAAATATTTATACTATTTGCTAACCTAATACTCACTTGAGTCAAATTTTCCATTGAATTATCAGGCAGAAGGAATACTGAATTATAGAATGGGAAGGGGCCAATAGAAATCAGCTTGTCTAGGTTGGGTATGGTGGCTCATGCCTATAATCCCAGCACTTTGGGAGGCTGAGGTGGGTGGATCGTCTGAGGTCAGGAGTTTGAGACCAGCCTGGCCAACAAGGTGAAACCCAGTCTCTACTAAAAATACAAAAAATTAGCCAGGTGTGGTAGCGTGTGCCTGTAATCCCAACTACTTGGGAGGCTGAAGTAGGAGAATTGCTTGAACCTGGGAGGCAGAGGTTGTAGTGAGCCAAGACCGTGGCACTGTCCTCTAGCCTGGGTGACGGAGTAAGACTCCGTCTCCAAAAAAAAAAGGAGAAAAAAGATATCAGCTTTTCTAAACTCCCTATTTTAGAGATAAGAAAACTGGGGCACAGTGACGTTTCCAAGGCAATACAGTTCATCAATGGCAAAACTAAAATTAGAACTCTTAAAAAAAAAAAAAAGCTTATTAGAGAATGTTCTTAGGAAGACAAAATTTTTATTTGTCATTAAAAAAAATTATGAGGCTGGGCATGGTGGCTCACGTCTGTAATCCTAGCACTTTGGGGCGCCAAGGCTGATAGACTGCTTGAGCTCAGGCGCTTGAGACCAGCTTAGACAACATGGTAAAACCCCGTCTCTACAAAAAAAATTAGCCAGGTGTGGTGGTGCATGCCTGTGGTCCCAGCTACTCGGGAGGCCAAGGTGGGAGGACTGACTGAGTCCAGCAGGTAGAGGCTGCAGTGAGCTGAGATGGCACTACTGCACTCCAGCCTGGGTGACAGAGTGAGATCCTGTCTCATGTTTTTTTCATGCTGTATAATAAAGGTAATATAAGAGGCTATAGAGTTTTAAATTTCTTTCTACTGAAATACTCTGAATACTACTGAAAACTACCGAAATACCAAAATAACACAATGTAATTTCTGCAATGCTAGAATAAAAAAATTTTTACATTTCTCTTCAAAAGTGATGAATAGTAACAGAAGATGTCATAAAAACGTGATTTTTTTCCTATTCATTCGGTAGTATTACAGCCAGTATTTTTATCATCACAGGCCATAATTTTCACTTTATCCACTTTAATAAGTTCTATCACCTTTTGTAATTCAATATCATTGAATATAAAAGTCTACATATTATCACAGAATCTTTTTGTTTTTCTAAATTAATTTTTTTTTTTTTGTAGAGACAGTGTCTTCCTATGTTGTCGAGGCTGGTCTTGAACTCCTCGCCTCAAGCGATCCTCCCGCCTTCACCTCCCAAAGTGCTGGGATGACAGGCATGAGCCACCATGCATGGCATATGGCAGAATCTGTATGTATTTAGAGAGCCACTGAAATCAACTCTGTTCCTAACCCTCTGAGCCAAAATGATGCGTTTATAGCCTTATCAAACTGAAGTAAAACTTGAAGGGCAAGTTGAGTGAACTGCTGAGATTGTATGAGCTCATCTAGGCTCTCCTGAAGACTGTTTCCCAAAGTAGTACTTCTGTATAACTGATATGACATGGCTTAGGAAGAAGAAATTGTTTTTCTTATTCAAGCTTGCCTTGATGTCTTGTGCTGAAGGCTTCCTGCCATGGAGCAGACAGAAGTGACCAGGAGCCCAGCAGGGGGTTCCTATATTCCTGACCACCTCTTCAGCAGCCACAGAAACTACAGAGCTGAACCCAAGACTCTGGAGCTCTTAATATACTCCCGTATTTTACTTTCACTTAACCATCCATAAATATACTGGCTAAAAATAAAGGGTCTATTATCTTAATCTGATGAAGTAAAATTTATCTGTTGGTAAATATAAAGGGCTGGTGGTTTTGATGCAGGTATTTAAAATTATTTACATATTTTGTTTTGTGCAATCAACAACTCACCAGTACTTGATCATAAAAATGGTACATTCACCAGTACTGGATTATAAAATGCCTAGTTCTAATCCAACATTACACTTTTGGTCTAAAATGCAAATAAACAAGAGCTTCTTAATTATACTATTTAGCTGTCATCAGCTAGGCTCCATAGAAACTAAGCTCTGAGCAAGATGGAGGAGAAGCAGGAACTCCATCAGTCTAGACTCCTTGGCTCTGATACTCATACCCTTCCTACTGTCTTCTTTCCTGTCACGCACAAAAAGGTGGTCCTCATTAATTCAATTATTGGCAGTGTGGCACAGTAAAAGAGTATGAGCTCTGGAGTCAGAAAGACTGGGGTTCAAGTCTCAGTGCAGCTATTTACTAGCTAAGTAAGCTTAGCTCAGAGAAGTTAAATAATTGCAGATCATTTAACTTCTCTAAGCTTCTTAGTTACAGTGATGGAGAAAATATTGATCTCATAATTTTGTTGAGAAAAATAATGAGGTAATATACGCAAAGTGCCTGGCACACAGAATTAATTATAGCTATTGTTATTACAAGTATACTCATCATCAAAACAGAATCTCATGAAGTCAATGGGCTGAATAAATCACTCTTGGCCAAGAGACTGGCCAGCCTTCCTGTAGTCTACAGGACTATATATAGTTTCAAGTTTGAATAAGAGGAGGTGATCTGTAAGTTATTAGTTAGTAGAAAGGAGAGATTTGCCAAATTCAGGCCAAGCTGAAAAGCAGTTTTCTGAGGATACATTTCCCAGGCACATAAAAGACAGAATCTCAGATCTCCAAGGGTTTACACTTCAAGGCCTCACTCTTGATGGCTGCCAATTAGATGCTAAATTTGGAGGAGTTCCTTGCCCTCTCCTTACTCTGGCATGGCAACATTTGGCAGGAACTAGGAGCCTTATGTAACAGAGCTGCTTGTTGACTTGGGGCTAATTGGCGAGGTGGCCTGTCAAATCTGGCCAACCCCCAGCAGGTAGAAAGGGTAGGCTTTCCTCAGACCACGCTTCCACATGTGAAGTTTTTTTTTTTTTTTTTTTTTTTAAAGAGATGGTGTCTTGCTCTGTTGCCCAGGCTGGAGAGCAGTGGTATGATTGCAGCTCACTATATCCTCAAACTACTGGGCTCAAGGGATCCTTCTGCCTCAGCCTACTAAGTAGCTGGGACTACAGGTGCACACTACTATGCCTGGCTAATTTTTAAGATTTTTTTTTTATAGAGACAGGATCCTGCCATCTTGCCCAGGCTCGTCTTGAACTCTTGGGTTCAAGCCATCCTTCCACCTTGGCCTCTCAGAGTGTTGGGATTAAAGGTGTGCATCATCGACCACATGTAAAGTTTAAAAGTACAGTGGAGAGGGAAAGAGGAAAAAGAGGATACTACAATTCAGAAAGGGCCAATGCCAGAAATAAACTGCTCATCAGAGAAAAAAAAGTATGTATATATAATTTAAAAATTTAATTACAGCCAGGCGTGGTGGTTCACGCCTATAATCCCAGCACTTTGGGAGGCCGAGGCGGGCGGATCACGAGGTCAGGAGATCGAGATCATCCTGGTTAACCCAGTGAAACCCCGTCTCTACTAAAAATACAAAAAATTAGCTGGGTGTGGCGGCGGGTGCCTGTAGTCCCAGCTACTCGGAAGGATGAGGCAGGAGAATGGCGTGAACCTGGGAGGCAGAGCTTGCAGTGAGTGGAGATTGCACCACTGTACTCCAGCCTGGGCGACAGAGCGAGACTATGTCTCAAAAACAAACAAGAAAATTTAATTACAAAAGAAAGATACACTCTTTCTGCTGAAAATTATGTAAAAATATTAGGATAGTTCTTACTATATCAGAATATGAGACACCTTAGTCTGTTTCTTAAAGTCTTCTCTAGTAACTTGACAACTTAAAATTCTTCAGCTTTCCCCCTCTAGGCAGCTCTCTAAACCACTTGCACTCAAATAATCAATGTGATACTTTCACCTGGACTCTTTCTTTTTCCTCTAGAAAATACCTGAATACTTGTCCATTTTTCTTGGCATTAAACTTGTCAGGAGAAAAAAAAAAGCAGACTCTGGAATTTAAATATGTTCAGTATGATTCATTAATAGAAAGGTATGGGACAGACCACAGTGCAGCTTCTGTGTGGCAGTGTTAGGGCCCCAAATAGGGGAAAATCCTAGAATATGCTGAAAGCCCTGGCTAGCCCAAGAAAGGCTTCCTATTTATAGGATGGTGCTTGTTTCCGTAGGGTTGGAAGAGAAACTCTAAAGGGGAGGATAGGATTAAGCTAAAAAGGGTCAAGACACTGCCCAATGGGAGCTAAACACAGGATTTGCTGTCAGAGGGTCTCATCATTCTTTACCAGGCCTCATTTGCAGCCCATCAGACTTGACACCTGGACATCCCTATTCAACCTCTGATTCTCCCCCAAACACGGGTTACCACAGACATGCCAAATACAACAGCATCTAACAGAAAAATTCTCTCCCTTCTGTTTCTCATTCAGCACATAATGCCTGAGCCAGTTTAGATTCATATTTCATAAAGCCTTAGCTGATTAATTCAGCATGGGGTGGAAAATACCTAGTCCGCATTTTGTTACACCCTGCACCTAGCAATCATTGCACTTCCCACTAACCCAGACACCGCTCTGAATCATCTCCAACACAGACAGGCATTACCAATAGCTGAGCTGCTATGCAGGGTAAAACTGGACTGCCATTCTTCAGCTAGGAATTCATTCATGTAATATAAACGAATTGCTTAAGCACTGACAAAAAAAAGCTCAAGCACTGACAACAGTGCCATGGGTTCACAGAAATGACTAAGATTCATTCCCTAATCTCTATGAGAAAGTAACTCAGTGGGGGTACCTCACTTTGTCTGTCTGATTGTAAGATGTAATAAATGCTAATAAAGGTTAGATGTATGAAATGGGATTACAGCACAAAGAACAATTAGTTATGTCCAAGAGGTAATAGAGAGAGGGCGCCAGGGACAGTTTACGGATGTAACATAGAGGTGGTTCCTAGAGAGATATAGGAGTTTGGATAATGAAGAGGGAATGTGAGAGAGAACCTGGAGGCGAGAACACAAAAGGACGTTAGAATATGAAAATTCCACGTGAGCAGCACTGTGATGGTGGGCGAGGTGGGTACTTAATATGTATTCAAATGAACTGAAGCATGGAAGAAGGAGGTGGTGAGGGAGACTAGAGACAGATTATGAGACTGAAATTTATTTTGATGGCAAAGAGAACCCAACAGAATCAAACAAATCGTTGATCCTGTAGGTCTAAAATGTCTCCAAAGTGGGCAGAAATTATGTTTGTCCAACACGGTTTTGAAACCCTTCATACTGCACAGAGTTTCATCTTCAAGTACAGTCATAACTCATGTCTGCTCTAGCTCCATATCCACACTTTATGTATCAAACACAAGAAGACATCCTGCATAGCTACATCATTCTTTTTTTTTTGGAGATGGAGTCTCGCTCTTGCTGCCCGGGCTGGAATAGTGCAATGGTGCGATCTCGGCTCACCACAACCTCTGCCTCCCGGGTTCAAGTGATTCTCCTGCCTGAGCCTCCCAAGTAGCTGGGATTACAGGCATGTGCCACCACGCCCAGGTAATTTTGTATTTTTAGTAGAGATGGGGTTTCTCCATGTTAGTCAGGCTGGTCTCGAACTCCTAACCTCAGGAGATCCGCCCGCCTCGGCCTCCCAAAGTGCTGGAATTGCAGGCGCGAGCCACCACATCTGGCCAGCTACATCATTCTTTACTTTGCACCCAGTAATCCTTACCTGTCGGCTGAGCCAGCTGCTATTTTGCTTCCATCAGGTGACCAAGAACATCTCAGAAGGTTCTATAATAAATAAGAATCCACTGAATAGTAATATACCAAACTCCTCTTTGCAAGGCTGCAGAATCACTGAGAGGCTTTACATTTCCTAAGTAGAGTTTTAATTATTCTTCTCAGGAAGATGGTCAGTAATTATCTTATATTCTATGCTCAAAATAGCATACTTTGTTATTTTACACCATATAAAAACTGTAGAAAATGCTTAACTTACAGTTAATTAGATTGAACCTGACAACAAAATTTTGTTCTACTTATAAATGGAGGTTCCCTTTGTTCCATTTATCTTGATACTCATTATTCTTTTTTTTTTTCCCTAACTATCTTTAAGAAAAATACACACAAACCCAACAAATAATAAATTTTGGGTTTTTTTTTTTTTTTTTTTTTTTGAGATAGGGTCTTGCTCTGTTGTCCAAGCTGGAGTACAGTGGCACAATCATAGCTCACTGTAGTTTTGACCTCCTGGGCCCAAGTGATCCTCCCATTTCAGCCTCCCAAGCAGCTGAGACTGCAGGCACATGCCACCACAACCAGATTTTTTATATTTTGTAGAGACAGGGTCTCACTATGTCACCCTGACTGGTCTCTAACTCCTGACCTCCCACCTTGACTTCACAAAGTGCTGGGATTACAGCTGTGAGCCACTGTGCCAGGTCTAAAAAATAAAATTTGATTTATACAGTGAAACTGAATCTCAATGAGCTCTTAAAAAAAAAAATTAATCTCTATTAACAAATTCTCTCAGGGGAAAAGTTTCTTTCAATAGAGCTGACCTTGAAATTTGAGGGTTTGAAAAAAATTTTCTCTCTCAGAACTTGGGCCGTGGTAGTTACTGAGGGGAGAGATGTATTCTTAGGATTCTAAAACACGTGGTCACAGGATGGGGAGGCAGGTAGGGAGACCATCCGGGTAACAGCTATGGGAGCTTGGGTTCCATATGGAAAACTGATTTAGGAGGGTAAAATTTACAAGTAATTAAAAGGCCAGGAGTGTCCTGTTGAGGGTGGTGTCAAGTCAGATGCCCTCAGTTTGAGGGCTGGCTCCATTCCTTTTGGGCTATGTGACTGGCTTCTCCCCAGTCACTATTATTTCTATTAGCTTTATTTTTGGCAACAAGTTTTGATTAAGAGCAGTGTTATAGGAATGAAGTCCATTCTTAGCAGAGCTACTGCTCTCTATCCTTAGTACCACCTTAAATGTTTCTCTGAAGTAAATGAACAGTAAAACTCCTCTGCCAAGCAGAACTCACCTTTTCAAAGTTGTGCACATTTCCTTGAAATATCTTTACACACCTCTCTTTGGGGGCAAATGGCCGGACATCCCAGACACGAACTGCAAAACAAATCCAAATAAACAAACCAACCAAAACAACTATCGGTCAGAGGCCTCGTGGGCACCCAGCTGAAATTAGTATCACGTCAATCAATGACAGATGCTGTTTCCTGGATAGGCGAAGTCCAACACGACACACTGCTACCTGTTAAGGCTCTTCTCTTTTTCAAGCAGGAAAATACATCTAAATCCCAATAACTGGGGCTAGCTGAGGAGGCAGGAAGGAAAAATGTCACACTCAATGTTGGTAATTTACAACAGAATGCAGCTGGGTGTGATACTAATTTCAAAAAGATACTTTGCAAGATTTCTCTGCCAGCTTAGAGTCACATCCAGCAAAGCTTCAATGTGACAAACTAAATACCATGAACTACTGTGACAATGAACTTATAAAAACCAACCTTACATTGCCCTTTCCTAATTTCCCTCATATAGGCACCTGAGAGTCTAAAACTGAACAAGGTCAGATATATATATAAAATATAGAAGGTTAAATAAATCAAAAGAGCACTGTACCATACCAAAAATCAGAAAAAGTAAACATTGATTCTAATTCTAGCTCTGTTGCATATTTGGGTGATGTCAGGTAAACAGTGAGATTGTTTGTGTCTTGGTTTTCCTGTTCCGTAAAATGAAGAGAAAATTATCTGTCTTCTTTTTTAAATAATACTATTGACTGATTGATTGAGATGGAGTTTCGCTCTTCTTGCTCAGCCTGGAGTACAGTGGCACAATCTTGGCTCACTGTAACCTCCGCCTCCTGGATTCAAGTGATTCTCCTGCCTCAGCCTCCCAAGTAGCTGGGATTACAGGCGCCCACCACCACACCTGGCTAATTTTTGTATTTTTAGTAAAGACGGGGTTTCACCACGTTGGCCAGGCTGGTCTTGAACTCCTGACCTCAGGTGATCTCCTCCGCCCAGCCAATAACACTATTTTAAAGAAAATTTGTAGGCAACAAACAAAAATAAAGAATTTATAATTTTATTACGCAGCCATAAGAAATTATTCTATTATTTTTTCCTTATTTTAATATCAATTTAGGAAACCTCATTGTTCCTCATTATAAAGAATGCTAGAATTAGCTAGGCATGGTACTTGGGAGGCTTGCTTGGGCCTAGGAGTTTGAGACCAGCCTGGGCAACACAGCAAGATCCTGTCTTATAAAAAAAATTAAGGGAAAAAATTTTTTTAATGCTAGATTATGTGTGTATAAACATCTATTGTAAGCAGTAGCTATAGCCGTCGTAACTGACGCTATACCTGTAGTGGAATTTCAGTGATGTCATTTTATTTGAGTATGAAAAAAGTATTATCAATCCTTAGAGTCAGGCAGGCATAAAAAGGCAAAGCTATGAATGAACGTTTGCTATTGAGAATACAGTCAAAAGATAAAGATTTCCATTCATTCAACAAATATTTATTAAGTAGCCAACGAATGTCAGGTATTGTTTTTGTTACAAAATATCAGGGAGTACATTTTAGTTCCTGACAAGCCTATAAATTTGTATACCAGGGCCATTTCCAAACTCCCTCAACATTAAGCATATAATCCAGCAAGTCACCTTACTTTTTTTCTATAGTGACCCATCCTCCCACCCTACAACTCAAAAACAAGTAAAGAGAAAAAGCAAGAGTGTTTGTGTAAATCCAGAATGTTTTAATGAAGACTTCTTCCCACACCAATGCTTTCAGAGTGGGGAGGGAAGACAGACTGTCAGGAAAGAGCAAAAGAGATCATCCAAGCTTGGTGCTCTCTGAAAACGCACAAGAACTGCCTTGAACAGACCTCTAGATTCACATCTTTTTCATTAAACTCATCACCTAGAGTTTCTAATATTCTGTTGGATACACAGAATACCAGAGCTGAGATGGGTCTTAAAGGTTAAGTCCAGTCCTCTTATCAATGTTAGAAACTGATGCCCAGAGAGAAGAAATGCTGTGTGCAAAGTCGTTCAGGGACAAGACAGAGATCTGAGACTACAGTCCTAGATTCTTAACTATCTCACCTAAAGCTTTCACCATTACAACACGTTCTAATCATCTGATGGAATCTGTGAGCAATCTTTGACTTTCCTTGGATCCTGGGAGAGATTTCCTCTCCAAAGTTACCTGTATTGTCCATTGCATTGGACAAAAGATAAGAGCCTTCAGAACTTAAACTCAGGCCAGTCACTGAATCTGCATGGCCTCTCATGGTGTAGGTTAGCTTGTTCTGGCGCAGGTCCCAGACCTGCAAAAACAAAAAGGTGCCCCCAGAAATCAAATTAATAAAAGCAGAGAAAGAGAATGACAAGAGACAAGAGTCAATTGCCCAGAGACACTGATATTACTGATATTACTCTACAGGATTTCTGTCAAAGAGAAAAACACCCTTTTTTTTTTTTTTGAGTCAGGTCTCACTCTGTTGCCCAGTGCAGTAGCATTATCATGGCTCACTGTAGCCTTGACTTCCCAGGCTCAGGTGATTCTCCCATCTAAGCCTCCCCAGTAGCTGGGACTACAGGAGCATGCTACTATACCCAGCTAATTTTTTTTGAAGAGACAGGGTTTCACCATGTTGCCCAGGCTAGTCTTGAACTCCCAGGCTCAAGCGATCCTCCCACCTCGTCCTCTTAGTGTTCGGATTACAGACATGAGCCACTGTGCCTGGCCAACCTCTGTCTTTCTAAAAAGGTAGTTAAGGTTACCATGTCTGACTCGATAAATATAAATGAATGCATATCAAATGTTAAGATAAAGTATTAAACAAAAAAAAAAAACAGAATTCAGAAAGGTTATTTTCAAATCATAGCAAAATAAAAACTACTATAGAAAAAAACTAGGCCGGGCGCGGTGGCTCACGCCTGTAATCCCAGCACTTTGGGAGGCCGGGGCGGGCGGATCACAAGGTCAGGAGATCGAGACCACGGTGAAACCCCGTCCCTACTAAAAAAATACAAAAAATTAGCCGGGCGCGGTTGTGGGCGCCTGTAGTCCCAGCTACTCGGGAGGCTGAGGCAGGAGAATGGCGTGAACCCGGGAGGCGGAGCTTGCAGTGAGCTGAGATCCGGCCACTGCACTCCAGCCTGGGCGACAGAGCGAGACTCCGTCTCAAAAAAAAAAAAAAAAAAAAGAAAAAAACTAAAGAGTGCTTAAAATGCTTAAACTATGATTCTTAGCCATTACAAATTATTATAAATACATAAAACAAATAAGTTTATCATTTAAAAAGCCATTATGATTACATGTTTAATTTGTGTTAACAATATGAAAAATATAGATACTTAAAATTTTTCATTTAATGTAACAATATGTGACAATAAATGTATATATATGTACATGTATGGGTACGTACATGAACACACACTATGGATAAGCACATTTATTAAAAGAAAAATAAATAACAGATTCATTATTGCTTGCATAGGAAAGGTAAGACACAGAAAATAACCTAAATGTCAAGCAGGAAAAACAGGTGGTTTACTAAATTATGTCTCATAAGCACGTTGCAAAACTGAATTCTCATATAGGAGATAGCATGACAGAGTAGAAAGAGTGGTGACTTAGGGTAGGAATAAACTGGTCCTTGCCACTTAAGAGTTATGTATCATTGTGTCGCTAACTCTTTCTGGGCCTGTTTCCTGGTCTGTAAGATTAGCTACTTCTCATGGCTGTTGTAAGGATTATAAGAATGCTTGCATATGCCTGGCACATGGCAGGTCCTCAATAATGTGTAGCTATTATTAAGCAGTTCCTAAAAATAACTCAGAAGACCAAATGTAAAAATATTTACATAATAAGCTGTTAAGCAAAAAAGGAAAATACAAAACAGTATTTGTCCTTACACAGACATACATTATTTTCAAGCTAACAGAAATAGTCTGGAAAGTCACATGGCAAAAAGAACAGTAATTTTGTTAAGGTCACTGGTATTACATAAAATACAAATTTCCCCCCAATTTTATTTCATATTGCAAAAGTTTTTTTCTAAGTACATAAAACTTTTGCTGTTCCTTAAATCAAGACACTTTTCCTTATCTAGAAATGAGTTAGGTGTTACATAGCAGAGCAATACATAGGGCAGACAACTCCACTTTCTCCATCAGTAACTCACTATGTGTGGAGCCCAACACATTTTCCATACGATCTTTTTTATATCAAGATGTTTGCTGCTTCAGTAATCAGGAAAGCCTGAAATGTCTGACATTTTGTTCAAGCTGTTGTTCCTTCTCTTCTGAGAAGGCACTGTTGAAATCTAGCTTTGTAACAACTAGGAGAGAATGCACTTTGCCAACCCCTCACAGAACTTGTGTGTTATTTCCAAACTTCCTCTTTGAGGCCTGTACACCTTGTTTGTGCAGGGCCAAAAAGTATCCAGGATTTGCCACCAAAAAAAATCTACAGCAGGGGTGGCTCACTCCTGTAATCCCAGCACTTTGGGAGGCCAAGGTGGGTGGATCACCTGAGGTCAGGAGTTCAAGACCAGCCTGGCCATGGTGAAACCCCTTCTCTACTAAAAATACAAAAAATTAGCCGGGCATTGTGGTGCACACCTGTAATCCCAGCTACTTGGGAGGATGAGGCAGAAGAATCACTTGAACCGGGAGGCGGAGGCTGCAGTGACCTGAGATTGCACAACTGCACTCCAGCCTGGGAAACAAGAACAAAACTCTGTCTCAAAAAAAAAAAAAAAAAAAAAAAAAATCTACAGCAAGAATTTAAGCAAAACATTTTGCAAGTATCCTAATCAGCTGTTCAATGAAAATCTGTGCATCTGATTAGTGGCAGGTACTGCTGGAGATGACAAAAAAAGACATGGCCCCTGCTCTCAAGGAGTGTTCAGTATAACAAGGAAAACTTAAGACGTTTAAGCAAGTAACGAGAGGCCTATGCAAGGTACAGTTGCAAAGTGGGCAGAGGGGTTAACCCTGGTGGAACAGAGACGAGAGTGAGAAAGGGAAGCTTTCACAGAAAATGAAGTGCCTGAGCAGGGTCTGAAAGTTTTTTTTTTTTTTAAACTTAGACAAAGTGGAAGGGTATTTACTAGGAGAAGATAATTTGTAGAAGTAGAGGGGCATGAAAAAAACTGCTGGATTGTAGGAAATTAGGCACCCAGAGGCAGCAGATGATGAGGTAGACAAGCAGAGGCCAGCTCATGAAAGGTTTTGAATGCCTGGCTTGCACTTTATTTCCTTCACTGGGGAGTCACAGAAGGGTTCAAAATAGAAAAATGAGTCATTCAGATGTATATTCTGGAAAGATCCTTCTGGCCCACTGATTGATTGAGACCGAATCTCCCTCTGTCGCCAGGTTGGAGTGCAATGGTGCAATCTTGGCTCACTGCAACCTCTGCCTCCCGGGTTCAAGTGATTCTCCTGCCTCAGCCTCCCAAGTAGCTGGAACTACAGGTGCGCACTGCCACACCCAGCTAATTTTTGTGTTTTCAGCAGAGACGGGTTTCACCATGTTGGCCATGGCCAGGATGGTCTCGATCTACTGACCTTGTGATCTGTCCACCTCAGCCTCCCAAAGTGCTGGGATTACAGGCGTGAGTCACTGCGCCTGGCCTGGCCCATATATTTAATAACTGAAGGGATGAAACCTCATAAAGTGCAGGGATTACAAACATGAGCCACTATGCCTGGCCTAATCTATCCTTTTAACCATTACATTAAAAAAAAAAAAATTACAAACTGAACTCCCATCCTAACTAGAGCTCAGGGTTATAAGAAATGCCAGATTGCCAGCCAGACCATCAGGCTCTCAAGTGACACATTTTCTTCTTTCTTCATTTTCCTCTGACTCCCCAATCCTATCACCAGGTAGGAAGTTCCAAGAGATTGGTGGGAACAGTCTATCTGCTCATAAATATACACAGAATTTGTTCACCTCAGATTTTAAAAAGGGTTCCCATTCCTTATGTGTTTCTCTTTCTTAGAACAGGCAGTGCTACCTAAGATAGACTGAGAAACAAACAAAAACCAGGCTCTCTGAGAAGCATCTCCTAATGTAGTGAGGCAGTGTGGTCATTTGTCGTGCTAGGGCTCAAGACCGGTAAGCCTCTAGGTGCTTAAAAGGTACTTGTTAATCGACTACAGGTAACAAGACAGAGTGGTAAGACTATTAGCCCTGTAGAGATAGAGCTCTGGTCCTGTCTCTACCACTGACTAAGTGATGACTATTTGATCTTGGCCAGATCACTTAACCTCTTAGGGACTCACTTCAGTCACCTATAAAGTGAGGGATGGAGGTGATGTCTAAGGTTCTTTTCAGGTTTGACATTTCCTGAGTCCTTCTGATTGAAAAGGAGCCTCTCTTTTGCACGTTTAAAGAAATGTATGAGGTCTTTAGGACAACTAAGAATCTTCCTGAGTTTGAGAGAGCAATTACTCTCCCCTCTGCATGTAACAAAAGGTTTTTTTTTTTTAAAATCAGGATAGAGTCTCACTCTGTCGTCCAGGCTGGAGTGCAGTGGTGCTATCTTGGCTAGCTGCAACCTCCCCCTCCCAGGTTCAAGCGATTCTCGTGCCTCAGGTTCCCGAGTAGCTGGGACTACAGGCACGTGCCACCACGCCCGGCTAATTTTTGTATTTTTAGTAGAGACAGGGTTTTGCCATGTTGGCCAGGCTGGTCTGGAACTCCTAGCCTCAAGTGATCTGCCCGCGTTGGCCTCCCAGAGTGCTGGGATTACAGGCATGACCCACCGTGCCTGGCCATCAGCAGGGTATTTTTAATAGGGAGAAGACTACCTTCTAACTAAATTCTAACACACACACAACTCTCTCCAGTCCATCTCTGTTATACAAGAGCAAAAATAAAGAAATAATTCTAGCAACTTGGTTTCAAATATTGTATTAACTGCTGCTGCCTGAAAACAATATGGCAGCCTGTATCCCAAATATGAAACATCCTTATACTTGTTAAAACACATTAATTTTTCACCTGGAAATCTATTCTAAGAAAACAAATACAGAAAAACTTTCATGCACAAATATGTCCAGAGCAGCATAATCTGTGATAGTGATTCACATGACACAGCCTAAATGTCCAATGACATGGTTGTCACTAAATTATTTAATATTGTAATAATAAAAATAAAAATGATGATGATAATGGCAACTGACATATACTGAACACACTATGTCCCTGCCATGGTGCTAGGCATATCATATCCTTACTTCATTTAATTAATGTAACAATTACATGAGGTGAGCTGACAATTCCCACTCAGAGATAAGTAATGGAGATGAT